ATCAGACGCGTGGCGAGGCGCTGAGGAAGCAACACGGGCATTCCTGGAACCCACACGGTCGTGCAAGTCACCCTTGTGGCCATGTGGTTTGTGTCAAGAGCTCACACGGGCATGGTGGAATTTCCACACGGTCGTGTGACCCTGGCCGTGTGGGAAGCCTGAAGTTCGATTAATTGAGATGCAGCGTTTTGGAAGCCACACGGGCAACTGGGCAGGCCACACGGCCGTGTGGCCTGCCCGTGTGAGTCGGGAAATCTTGGTTTTTACCCAATTCCGAGCCACAAGTGAGAGAATCGACTTTTTGGAGCAAAAATAGAGCCCTAGAGAGAGAAAGTGCGAAGAACTCATCTAAGAGTGGTTTTGGAGCTGGGTTTCATCAAATCAAGCTTGGAGATCATCATGGGAGTGATAATCATCATCCCAGAGCAGATTCTTCCCATTGTTATGAGTATGACTGCTTTGTATTCTGTTTTCCCCTCTCTCTCTATGGAGTAGAACTTTCTCTCACTTGGGTATGAGAGAACCCTAGTTCCATGTGTTAGGGATTTTGATTGTAATGACTTGGGATTGTTAAACTGCTTGATTATAATCGAATGATGCATGATTCATTGAATTGATTGAAGTCTGATCAGCTTTTCTTGATTTCTGCTGCAACCTGAGATAGATAGAATCTGATTAGGTTGTTAGAGCTACATCATTCGGTAGTAGTGGATTGGATATACGAGAGTTAGCCAATATACTGCTTTGTACTGGAATCCAATTCCAGTAGTGGAGTTCTGTGTTCATAGCCTCAGCTTTCTATCCCGGTGAAGACTAGTCGTCTGTCGGGTAGTTTGACTGAGAGGGCTTGGTCAGCTTAAGAGATTCCAAGCTACTGTCGGATCTTTCGCAGTGTAATCAACAGTAAATCAACCCAGGGTAATTACAATTGAACCTAACTAAGGAGCTAGGGGGACTCATTCCCGAGTGACTCTTCCTTGACTTCAGAAAACCGAACCATTTCCTGCTTTCTTACTGCTTTTAGTTAAAACAACAATCAATCGACTTAGTTGGCTAGATAATAGATATTCACGGAGTAGGCAGTAGATCTAGACCCCGGGTTGATAATAGAACTTGCCATTTTACTGCATTCCCGGACTGCAATTACACTTGGTCGCAGTTTGGTGTTGTGTTTTACCGTGTCAGCTTGCCATGGAGAATTTTGCAAGAACAAGCTCCAACACGGATTTCCAACTCCTCCCTCCTCCCGGCTTGACACTAGAAGAGAAGGTGGCATAGGCTTGTTCAAGCTATCGCCTCTCATTATTGGAGGATAAGGTAGAACGGGCTTGTGCAAACTATCGCCTCTCATTATTGGAGGAGAACGAGGAGGTGGAAAGGGCGATCAATGTCAACCATATGGAGCAAGAGGAACTCACCCTGGAGAGCTCCCGTGGTGAGAATGAACAAGAAGGTTTCATTGACGACTAACATAATTTTCCCCTTCCCAAAAGCAACTTTGAACACCAAGACACGAGTGTGGAGGAGCAAGAGAATACCTTCTATGACCTTGCATGGCATCTTGCCCTCAAATTCGTGCTTGGAGACATGAATGGGAAGGAGAAATAAGAGGTTGAAGAGGGGCGAGTAAGCATTGAAGAAGGAGAAGATCTTGATTGTTCCCAAGGGGAGGAACACATTGAAGAAGAAGAAGAAGAAAGGAAGGTTGGAGAAGAAGAAGAAGGTGCAAGTGGAGTCCAAGATGAGGACAAGGTCGAGGTGGATGAAGCATCCACAAGTTACGAGGGCTATGAAAGCTTTCCACCCGCATCGACGCACTTTTGGAGAAGGACCCATTTGCGGATCTTTGTCAAGCCAAGGCCAAACCATTGGTGATCCCTCTTGGTGGATGGTAAATCGATGATGCATCAGATGGTGTGGGGCAAAGAGAAGAAGGAAAGAAGAAGAGGTCTCGTGGGTAGAGCCTCAAAGCCACTCAAATTCACGAGCCCTCAATCATGGACTCGTCCAATGCTCGTGACTTGAGACATCACCTCACCGATGAGAACCTCAACTTTAAGGAGGTTCTAGGGTGGACCAAAACTTGAGGAGCAACCGTCCGCTCACGACGTTAAAGAAGCGCTTGGTGGGAGGCAACCCATCTACCATCGGTTTGTTTGCTTTCCGCTCCAATAAGAAGACCATTGGAGAGATTTTAGTGGTGTTTTGCCGTCTCCTTGCTCTTATGGATCTTGCCCGACCTCCGATCCCTACCACTAACATTCACATTGTATCCGGTAACATCGTTCTACCTCCTTACTTTACGCCATTGAGGGCAATGCCAAGCTTAAGTGGGGGGGATAGTCTATTGTGCATGTGTGTGAATGATTGTTGTTATTTTGAATGCTTGGAGCCTCGTTGTATGCCCAAATTTGAAAAAATTTAATGGCTCAAAACAATGCTTGCATGATCAAAGTGGTCGGTTTATGAGAGAATCTCGTGTCTATTGACATTAACCTTGAATTGTTGCATGTGATAAATGCATCCTATGATGATGACTGAGAGGTGCATTAGAATAGTGCAAAGGTTTAGTTCTCATGTTTGCAAAAATGAATGGATGTCTTGACTCGATTACTTGTTGATTACAATTGCATTGCATTGTGTTTTGTGAATTGGAATAGATGGTTGGGTGACTAGGTAGTCATGTTAGTTTTGAGCCGATCGTTTTCTTCTTGTGTGCTTAGATCCCTCTTACCATGGCGAGTAACATCACAGTTGTCACTAGTAAGTATGATAGAGGCATAGGATTAGTCCACGCCCAAATGTTGATTGTCCTGAAATGATTTATCCACTAGTCAACCCCTTTGAGACTTGTGACTTTGGGGGTTGTTCTCATTGTAGGAGCTTGTTACTTGTGAGCTTAATGGTGTTTATAGAACGACCCCCATCCTTTCTTCGTGTCTATACGTGTGTCGTCCTTGTGTCCCGAAGCTCTCGCTTTTGAGTTCCATTGAGGTTCTACATAAGAGGATTGTGCGTGGTTCTTGCTAGGAATGAAAGAGAAAAGAGTAGTGTTGGAGTGAGTTCTTAAAGGAGAGCATTGGTTATCAAAAGTAGTGTGGCAAGTGTTTAACTCTCTAGTACCCCCCCCCCCTCAAAAAGAAAAGAAAAGTACAAAGAAACAAAAAGAAAGAGAAACGATGTGGTTGATGAGTGATCGTGTTAAGACTTGCATTGATTCATGAACAAGGTGAGAACTTTTCGTTTGCACGTTCTTAATGCATTCAAATGTCGTTTGTGGTGGGTGCCGGTATTGCTTGTGTCGGTTCATTTGTTGATGCCAAATAAACATTGAGATTCATCCATTGTGTGTCCTTTGATAGGTCCCCAAGTTTTTGTTGTTGGGTTGAAATATTACCTTGTTTTGTTCTTGTTTTGCTTGGGGACAAGCAAACGTTCAAGTGTGGGGGAGCGATTTGAGTCCAATTGTACACATTTTGCCTCTTATTTCTTGATAGTTTGACTTTTCATTTCTTCGTTCCTCGACATATTTCACGCTAGGTTGTGCTTATTTTGATACATTTTAGGTCCTACCACGTGTGGATGGGACTATTGGAGGTCAAAAAGCGCAAAAACCGAAGAAAAGTTCAAAATCACTATTGGAGTTCACGACCTGGCATTGGAGTTCACAGCCTCTAAGGTCGTGACCGTGAACGGCCAGGGGTCCAGGGGGTTCCAGAGGTTACTAACGACAAGGCAGTTCACGGTCGCTAAGACCGTGAACTTTGAGCACAAACCGTGAACCCCAGGAAGTGAAGCGGTGCGTTTTGGCCACGACAATGAGTTCACAGACGCGTTTAGGTGTTCACGGCCGTCAACTGGGACCGTGAACTGGGCGCGATCTGGGTATAAATTGAGAGTTGAAAGGAAGAAAAGAGGGAGTTGGTTTTTGGAGAAGGAACACTTTCTTTCTCTAGGGTTTCAACCCAAAACACCAAAGGGGAGTTCTAGTGTGAGAAAGGGTGATCTTTGAGCTTAATTGAAGGAGTTTGGAAGCTAGGAATCAAACCTAGAAGAAGAAGATGAAGATCTAGAGGTTTCTTTGTAATCTCTCCTCTCTCTCTCTCTAGAAACTCACCCTCTTCTCTTGGGTTTAAGAACCCTAGGTCTAGATTTGGGTTTAATGTTCATGTATGTGACAAACTCCATGATTGATTGATGATTTTACTTAATTGATGAATGTTTTCATGAATGGCATGAGTTGAGTTTCCATTTTCATGTATTGAGCTTTTGACCTAGGAGGGAGATAATCTCCTTATAGCCCCATTTTGGCGTCTTCAGGTCACTCCTATCGTATATTGTTTGGCTAGTCCCCGAGGGAGTTTATTAGACTGGTCTCCTAGAATCATACGAACCCCTAGGTTGAATAGACCACTACCCATCCATCAATTCGCCGTTCCGGGTCATTCCCGAGGGAGTCCATCTCCAAACGGTAGTGTAGTTGAGTCGATCGAGCTAGGAGGATACCCAACATCGATCCAAAGAACGGACCTAGCACGATTCAACCCAAGAGAGCTCCCCACCTTGTAAATAACTAGGTTAGTGGTTAGTCTAGGTTAGTTGGTTATTTCTATCAATCACTATCCTAGGTTGGCTAGATAACGAACACTAAACTTAAAGTAGGGTAAACCTAAATTCCCGTCGTACAATAAATTCTTATTGCTTGCTTGCTCTATTTTACACCCGATCGACGGTTATACTTGACCGTCGATTGGGATATTGTAGTTAGAACGAGTGAAACTATTAATCACTTAACTTTTTTTTGTTAGACATTCCTTCGGTGCCGAAAATATTGATTCTATCTTTCGTTTATGCCAACTTAATTCGGTTGTGGTCCGAACCGGATTAGGTCCACCCGACCCCAGCGGCTGCACTGAAAAGTGAAAACTGGGGGTAAGGAAAAGGGCAAAACGAGAAATTAGAGGCAAACAAAGAGACCTTTTGTGCTGCTCCTGCATATATAGCGTCAGAAGGCTCAGAACACACGCATATCAGCAATTCCTCCGCCCGTCTCTCTCTCATCTAACCACCTTCTGCTCCGCCGTGGGGTCCTCTCCTTCCCTCCCCTTAGGGTTTTCCTTACTCCTCCATCTTCCGATCATCTGTTCACAATCAGTTCACGTACATCGGCAGATTGTAGAGTCTTTTTTGTACGGATACGGCGAGTGTGTATATCGGCGTATGAATCTGTAGGAAGGGTTTCGTTTCCGTCGTGCTTTCTTCTTCAATGGCGACGGCACCGGTGAAACCGCAGCTGAAGTCGCTCCATAACTTCCCTGTCTCGCTGAAATGGGGCAAAACCGCCACGCTTGCCGCCGGAGGAAGCAACATCACCGGTGGCCGTCCTGCTCCGCCGCCGCTACCGAACGACTCGGAGACGGATTCCGATCCTGATGCTTTCCGGAGGCAGCACCGTCGGCCACCTCCGCCGCCTGCTGGTGCTAGTATGGCTCCTCATCGGGTCGGATCCCGGTCCGCCAGGCAGCAGCGGTTCTCCTTCAGCTCGTGCTCTAGTATTCTCCCAAAGCCGATGCCTAAGCAGCAGACGGTGACGGTGCACGAGAAGCCATCGGCGGCGGAGGAGCAGCTGCGGAAGGAAGTCGTCGCGGTCTCCGAACGGAACAAAGATGTGGAATCTGGCGGTGGTGGGGGAGGAGGAGGAGAGGCGGAAGAGGTAGAAGAGGAAGAGAATCATCAGCGGCCATGGAAATTGAGGCCGAGAAGGGGTCTCTATTGCTCCCCCGTCGGCAGCGGTGAACTGACGATGCAGCAACCGAAGGACAAAGCACAACAACAAACGCCAGCGAAATCGATGCGATTGAGAGGATTGGCGGAGGATTTAGGCGGCGGCGGAGGAGGAGGAGGAGTGTCTTTTGAGAGGAAGGAGAAGAGGAAGTTCTGGATTGCTCTGTCGAAGGAAGAGATTGAGGAGGATGTCTTCATCTTGACCGGTTCCAGACCCTCCCGCCGGCCAATGAAACGACCCAAGAACGTCCAAAAGTTGGTTGATGTAAGGATTCCTTTCTCTTCTTCTTCGTTTTCATTCTCGGTCTTTTTCAATTCTACAAAGAGAGAACCAAAATCTCCATCTCTATATTTTTTATGCAGAACGTCTTTCCTGGTCTGTGGTTAGTGGGAGCTACAGTTGATTCGTACAGAATTCCAGATACCCCGATTAAGGTCTGTTTATGTTCTTACATTCGCTCTCTTTTCGTACCAAATTGGTCGTTTTGGACTGTTCATGATCAAATGTACTCAATATCTCCGCCATTGTTTGCTGCAGAGGTAGATACATAGAGCTTACAGTTGGTTGGTTTTGGGAGAGAGCTCTTTGGAGGGTAGAGAGGAGTTGCCATGCTACTCACCATGGAGGCCTCAATTCGAGGTATAATTGGCGGGTGGATTTTGTGTAAAAAGGAGGGTGCTAAAGAAAGTAGTTTCTTTAATGCTATAGTTTGTTTGATATGCTATTTTGTGAGGCTCCCTTTGGCATGCGATGCAGAGTGGAGTGGAGAGGACAGAGGTTTATAGTCTTTTGCAGTGATAGTATATTACAACGCCAGACAGAATGGACAGGGAAAGGGGAGAAAATGGATGCACAGGGAAAGTTGATGGCTTTCATTTAGTTTTAGTTCTTTAGAAACGGGGGAATTGTTGTGTTTTCAGTTGGCTGAATATTTATGTTGCTTGCCTGGAGATATAGATAGGCTGATGCCTGCCCTGCATTCTTCCAATGCTCTGGAAGACTTGTTATTCAGTTCAGCTTATCTTGCATTTTAGGGAGCAAGTGATACCAATTGTTGCTGTTTGTTCAAGTCTAGTGTGTTGCCTTAGGATAATTTTCGCGTATCGGGTGGTCATTTCGTGTTATCAGCCTGCAAAGTTATGATCTTCAATAGTACCCTTGTTCTTGCTTCTCAGTCTGCCATGATATAAGTTATTAAGTTTTAGGAGGTGTGGAAAGGGGAGGGTAGTGGCTTGAACATCATTTGGTAGCTCTGTAACTCTGAGGTCTCGGTGTTGTGCATACGATGTGAGCCTATATGCTGTTGGTTGATGATAGATGTGAAGTGCAAGGCTTAAGTAAGTCTATATGGTTTCAGGTTTTCCTTAATTAGTTCGCTCATTTGCATACCATTTGCGTAACTCTGGTGCGGCAAAAGCTTGATTCATGGGTTAGTAAAGGGCATTGAACTTTATGTTGTGTCGTAGAAGAAGGGGCTTGCATTGGGTGTCCACATTCAAGTTAGGCCTCACTATGGTCAAGCTTCTGGTGCCGCTTGCCACAGGTTATTTTGAAGCAGAAGATTTGGGTTAGTAGGTAGCTTGGCTTTTGTAAGTGTCTTTTCTACTGTTGCTTGGTAAAAGATTGAACAGGTGATGTGGCTAGTTAATTAGTTCGCATAGTGATGCTGCTTGTTTCCTCTCTCGTCTTCGTATTGTGTTTGGGACGATGACTTGCCGTGGTTTTCAAATTTAAGCTTGTTTTCTTCTTGATTCCGTGAGTTGTCTTGGAAACAGAGGAATTTGAGTATTGTGGTTGTGGATGCCCAAATATTAAAGTGGTCATCTCCATTTCTGGATTGCTTGGAGCGGAGCGTATCTATCACAGTGTTTAAAAATCGTACTGGTTCGTCAGATCGGAAATGTTATTGACTTTTCTTGTATAATCTCTGGTATGGTTTAATGATTCATTAATTAAACTATTGACAGTCGACACACATGACATACTAATTGTCTCTGATCTACTTGGGCTGGGCTGGATTATTTTAAACAAATACCGGTTATCTTCTCGGACAAAATGAGTGGTTTTATTTAAATTGTTGTTCAACCGTGTTCTATATAGGTATAAATATAATCTTCAATCTTGTAACTTTTAGAACCCTGGTAGTCGGATATTTGGTTGAACTAACAAACACCAATTTCGAGGTTAACAAAATTTCCAGTTCTAATCTCACAACATTGAAATCGGGCCGAGTATCTTTTGTAATCAGTTTTCGTTTTTCCACTTTACTTAACTGGGCCATCTTCATCCCTACTGCAGACACAAACAAGGCTCAGCTAAGCTAAGCTAAGCTGAAAAAGCCCAGCCGGTGTTATTGCGGAAGCCCAATTGCCCTCAAATGGAAATAGTTCCCACCCGTTCTTGATATATAAAAGAAGTAGGGCCCGTTTATCTCCAATGAAACAACTTATTAGATTTAACTGGGCTATTTTTGCTGACTTGGTCTGTTTTTTGTTTAAAGTTTTAATCCAACAGGCCGAATCAGCAAAATTATAGAGTGATTGGCAATCTGTCTCTACACAATCAAGCCCAAGCCCTCTCTACGCAAGCCATCTGCAATCCCAACAGAATTGACAATAATGGACAATCCCCAGCCCAATTACGCAAGACTACTCCTACGGCACGACCCACTAATTCCGCAACACATAGCAGCATACAGGTTCTTGAGTCGAGGGAAGACTAGGTTGAATAAGACATCTCTTAAAGTTCTGCAAAAGATTTTGTTGTGACTTGAATCGGATTATTTGACGACGATTTGAAATCACAGGGGTCTCGTTGTATGAGCTTATACACGTTTGGTTTCTGTTTTAGGGCCTGATTTGTAACCTAAGTTATTTACCATATTGGATTTAAGGTTAGACCACAGGTAGAAGTATTATAAATACTTCTCATACTACTGCGTAATTTGTGAATCTGACTATCTCCTGCCTGTGGACTAGCTAGCTAACACAAATGGTGTAAGTGAACCATGTAAATTCGTGTGTCTTGTTTCGTTTCTTGCTTTCATTTTTCTCGCTCTGTCGATCCTCCGATCCGTAAAAACAGTCACAACATATTTTGATACCAAAACTTTCAGTTATCTACCATGGAGAAATTTTCCTCATTTTCCTATCTAAAATTTGGGCTAATTCCACTAGGAAGCCCAAACTATCCTTAAAGTGTCATTGAGTTCTAAACTATTAAATATAACAAATCTGACACGAACTATATGCGTTGCGTGACATTTGTGTCCTAAACTTATTCAATATGATAAATCTGACACAAACCATGTATGCTGACTAGATTTTTTTTTATAAACACTAACGATCTACGCCGATCAACATTAACGAAAAAATAGTTCGTGCCATATTTGTCATATTGAAAAGTTTAGTACACAAATGACACTTTTTGAATAGTTTGGGCTTTCTAGTGAAATTAGCCCCTAAAATTTAAACTTTAATTAATGGTTGTACTCTGGTAAGGTAGGCTGATAAATATAAGCTTATTATTAATACTGACTCAAGTATTGTCGGAACGAAGAGAAAATATAAAAGCTCCTAATTTAAATTCTACTATCTAGGGCTGGTATTCGGTAACCCGGTATAATCGGTTATTGAGCCGGTTACCGGTGGTATCCTGTATACCTAATACCAACGGTATTGGTATATGGTTGCATAATTTTCCAAACGGTATACCGAATAACATCCGGTAACTTACTAACAGGAAATCGGTATACCGTAATACTGAAACTCATTACTAAAAACGCAGCGCTGCAGATTGGGGTAAAGCCTAATACCCAAAATCGGACCTTGCCTCCCCCGCTGCACGCCGCGCTCAACCCTCTCTGTCTTTGATTCTCTTCCAAAAGTCGAAACCCCAGGCATCTCCGTCTTCCTCTTCTCTTCACCAGCTAGTAGCAGTCCCCGACGGAGAGAGCTACGTCGCTGGCTGCCACTTCTTGAAATCGATGGAGAGTGGTTCAATTCCGACCACGATTGAGGATTGAAGAACGAATTGAAGAAGTAGGAGAAGAATAGGGGATTTTGCTGACTGGTGCGCACGCAATGCTGGCCATCGTCAAGTTTTCTTCTTCCCCATTCTGCCCAAGAAGCAGCGACCGGCCAGCAGGGAGTTTTTCTGTTTTTTGTAACTCTTTTTCAAGGCTAACAACAACCGATTTGTCTCTTTTGCTGTCGGGTTTCGGTATACCGGTGTTATACAAATGAAATATTATATTGATGATCAAAACATTCCTGGTTGTGAAACCCTTAGGGAGGGCTCATTCTCGGAATTGACAGATTTTGTGTTCGACCCCATCGAGACCCTCTTTGATGTTCCCGGAGGTATTTAGTGGAATCTTTGTAGAGGGCGAAAGCAGGTGAACCCTCCACATTTGATTCTCAATAAAAAAATTGTTCTTTTACTCAAAAAAACAAAAAGGTTTGATTCTTAATTTAAGCGCTCAGTTGAGTTTGACATAGAGGTGGTAATTTTCAATCTACTTTGAGCTGAACGAGCATAAGTCGGATTTCTTAGGGGAGTCACTCGCGCCAGTCCAATACATTCACTAAAATATCCAACTAATCCACAATTTATTTTATCAAAATTCAATAGGATTGGTGGATTCATGGACTGATCCATAGATCCAAATGGCAAATTATGGTTTAATACCTATACTTTTTAAATTTTACATTTTGGTACGAAAAAATTAATTTTTTATACAAAAAATATTAGTGGAAAAATTACGTCTTGATACTTAAATTCTTTTATTATGAAATTTTAGTACCCAAACTTTTCAAAGCTTACTTCTTGCTCAAGACGTGGATGTCATTTAAATTCATGGATCAATCCACCAATCCACTTGATCCAATCCATGAATTCATTTAATCCAATTCACTTGATACATGGATACACCAATCCAACGATTCAATCCAATTACCACCTCTAGTTTGACAGCTTCCCTTTCAGATTTAGACCAATTTTTTTCACTACAGTTACATATAAATAGAACCTTGAAACTAGCTTACACAAATTATATGTGGCTTGAATAACGAATAAGATGAATAGAATGTTATCTCAAACAATGATGTGCTCCCCCTCTAATGGGGGACCAAAAAATCGAAGTGCACTCAAGCTATCCTCCATGGTCTAGCAAAGATCCAACAGGAAGCATATTTACTTTTATGAGAAAAGAAAGACATAATACCATCTGTAATTAAAATGATCACATGCAATATTTCTAGTGATGATGATATCATGCAACTCCCAAATGATAGTTGCTAAAATAATGGACGACATAGAGATTTCTTCACAACTCAATTAGGGTTCTTATAATAATTCCCAAGTAGAGATATTATGATTTGAAACCCTTTATTAATTGAAACCTCAAAAAGCATAGCTGCCAGCTTGAAGTTGTCTCCCCAAAAATTTAATTTGACCATAATTAAACAATTAAATAATTAGTGATACACTCAATAATATTAAACACAAGTTGCCCATGTTCTTGTCCAGAACCAAAATGATGTCTTTTTATTCTTCCAATGCTATAGGGGGAACATACTTGGTAGTAAATTACAACCCATAATCATAAAGCAAGAGAGTATAATTAATTTTTTAATACTCACTTTGCCTTTTGTTTTTTGTTCTTAATTATTATGTTCTTATACAACCTAGCAATATCTTGTTATATTCCCCAAAAATCATGATTAGCGATCTTAATAGTTTAGTGGCAGATCATCATGAGGTGTGGGTCTTCCTCTTCTTATATCTCTTGGATATGGCAATTCCACTTTAATTGACAAAGCATGGAAATATTAATAAGATATAGAATGATAATTATATTAGTATCCCAAGTAGAAGGGTGGCTCTTGACTTGAGGTATGCTATAATTAGTTAAGTTGTATTGTTCTAATGGTTTGGTATAATAATTGCAACCACTTTCATCATTTGAAGGAAGATGTTCCATGATTGGTCATAATCATTTTTGTGTAGGCATGATTGAGAACCATAAAATCATCCGAAGTATATATTCCAAATATTTGTAGTTAGCTTTAAGACAATTATGTTAAAATCATATTCAAATATAATAACAATCTAATAATAGAAGAACTCATATTCATGGATGATAAAGACCTACTAGTTAAGAGAATGAGCGAGCAAAAACGCTACCAAGACTCCCTTGAATGGGTCATAGGTTGTGTTACCCTTTTTTTCTCGTAGAAATTCTCCACATTTCACTTGAACTTGATCGTCAATTGATTAATTCAGACGGCAACGCATTAGAGACTTCTTGCAGGTAATCCTTTAATTTGTTTAACCAGATACCTTTCTAAACATATGTGACACCCATTCCTGACATATATTGTTTACACCTAAAATAATTTGGCGGCATTGCAAGGTCAACGGCACCGCGACATAAACAATATTGCGGAGGTGAGCGATGTCCCGAGTTCAAAAACACCGTAGTAAGCAGCGATGTCACGACGTTGAGAGCATGACAACGTTGTGAGTTAGAAAACGCCGAGTATCTCAACGATGCCGCGAGCTAGACAATGTTGTGAGCCCGACAATGTCGTGGAGTCATAACAGCGACGTTATTTAATTAACAACATCGGCATTGGTCTTGCAACTGTGTGGTTTCAATTAAGGATGCGGCTCTATTAATATTAATTTCGTGGCTCAAATTCATGATGATTGCGGCCACGAAATAACACGTCGCCGTCCAAACCACAATACTGATCCTAGGCTCGGGTTCTTTTGTGCACACGTGTGTGGAGAGAAGTGAAGAGTGGAGATGCAAAGTTGTTGAAGACTACAACGTTGTAATAATGTATTTTCTTTCACATGAG